ACCAATTAAAATAAACGGTTTAAATAAAAAACAAGTAGGGTCACTGCAACTCGCTAGTGTACGTTAAAATACACAATTAATAGATAACAAACAATTTAGACTTCTTATGGATAAGTCTAAAATGTATGTTCTTCTAAAGACTGGTAATTTATACAAATTATAGTTATCATTAATTATATTGTGAGTGTATGAGTGTAACTATAAAATACATGAGCAAAGCAAATTTATTTCGATATTTATTTCTAATTCAAATAATTATAAACATCGTAAAATATACTCGACTTTTTTTAATGGAGTTGGTGAGTAACATATTATTTACATACTGTCATAGGGAGAAACGTTATGTTAAATACTATATATACTTAACACTTTTAACCACTAAGTAGATACACTTTGATAAATGTATAAACACTTCAAAGTAACAAGAAATAAGTAAGCTCAAAATTCGTGTTAGTATAATGTAGCGATTGTTGTAAATAATAATGTTACAGTTTACTATTTAGCTATTAGTCAACAACGACAATATTGTTATTCTATACGCTATGTGGCAAAACAATTTTTTCACCACACTCTATAAATGTAATGAAATTCTCCAATAACTAACGACAAGAATCACTTCTTGCACCGAAAATGTCCATAGCACACAAGTAAGTGCGGATAAGCGATATACCTACACATCAGAATTCGGACCTAACTACCTTATTAATAATAATATGACATACACCGAACATACAACGCAGAAGAACCACGAACCACGTAATTAAACATGGAAAAATAATGAGACAAGAAAACAATCGGATTAGTTGTTATAGTTCTTAATTTGATTTATATAGTTTCGTCCAAATATAGAATACATACCTAATAACTGTGGGTAAATGTATTTAGGCTTAAAATATACGATTTTTTGCAAGAATATCTTATAAATATCCATATATATATATATATATGGTGAACTAGAAGTCTTAACAGTACCGATTGACACGAAAGAAAAACTCATAATATGCGATACATCTCCCTAACAAAAAACGGATTCGACACAGCCAAAATTAAATTTATCATTCAACTATCTACACCTTATATAGTAGGTGATTTTAACGCACATAGTCCAACATGGTGTTCTGATAAAATAGATCTCAAAGTAAAATTTAAAAATCACTTTAGGAAAATGATTACTTATTTTTTATTATTATTAGTATTTATAGGGTTGATAGCCCCCCCTCCCCAATGAAAAAAAATCTGAATATGCTGGCATGGACAATAGGTATAATATATTATATTATGTTGTATCATGTATAATATATAGTAGGTGTAGTATACTAGTATATCCTTGACACTCCCACTTGGGACAAATGTATTGTCTGCAGATCATCGGAATTTATAGATAAAACATAAAATATTTATTAAATTACGGACATACCATATTATTGTTGTTAATTATAACAAATAATTGCATTCTATAAAATTACTATAAATTGTAATAAAACGACGATTTATTTATTAGTTTTTATTATACGGTATGAATTCTTATACCTAATATAATTACTTATACGCCTTGTCTTGCAATTTTCTTAAGTAAAATATCTAATCGGTCTATGTGGATTGTCAGTCAAATTTAACGATGTTATTAGCTGTTTGATCACTATCCTTTAAAATAACATGGAGCCGGATTACTGGACGTGTTGGATTAACACATGGTCGGATTGCAGACACTTTACTGTATTATATAATAAAAAATATCGTTATTTTGTATTAATGTAAAAAAAAAAAAAACTGTCTATTCAAAACTACATAATATTATTATAGACTGGCAATTAAATTGTAAAAGAAAATTTTCCTCGGGGAAATAAATATATTTTTTATCGTTTAATTTTTGTAATAACCGTGACGGGCATAAAAACGGTATATCTATATAACATGTATAGGTATGCCCTATCCACTAATTGCGCAACAACCTCCATAACAATACGTGTATTATTATGTATGTATCATGTATGCGACTATACATAATAATATGTACAGTGCATATTATATACATACCCATACATATGTAATATAAGACTGTACTTCACTGCAACTGCACCACACACACACACACACACACACACACACACGCACACGCACACACATACACACACCGGGAAATGTACTGCAACAGGGTATGTATATATATATATATTGTTATGTGTTATTATACGGTGTTATAGGTTTAAACAGAAGGTATATAATATGCAAGTGTGTGTATGTGTATGCTCCAGCCCCCTTACCCATCAATGTTAATTTACTATAATAAAGTACTATATAATACTGCACTACCAGACGACGGCCAGGAGTATATTATAACTAGTTGTGTCATATCGTAAAGAGCGAGCTTACAAGCATCCAAATCCAGTTATTTTTAGTACTGCCCGCCCTCGGTGAAACATTAATAATTCCGTTTGAATATGTGCTTAAAGTAAAATGTACGTCGCAATTTCGTCCATAATATTATCTTGTATGATTGAAAATTAAAAATTTCGCACTTCGTCCGCCATTTCGACAGTGCGCTTAAAATTTGTTTTTGTTTCAATAGAATGTAAAACAGCGACTATAATATGTATCAATAGCGGGTATAGAGATACCCACAAAGAGGGGGGAGGGGCTGTTGAGCCAGGAGTTTGGGAGATGGCTGAAACGAATTTGTAATTTTTGAAATTTTAAAACAGACAAAACATTTAATGTGGAGACCTGGAGGTACCAACCTACCTATTTTCAAAAAAACCTATTATTCAATTTACAATTTAACTACTTCTAAGTCTGTGGCTTTTCAATATAATTAAATATTACGATAGATGATTTATTATGAAAATTTGTTTTTCTATACCACTCATACAAATTGAGTGTTCTAACGAGTTTCTATATGATATTTATTTCACAAATGCAAAGCAGGGGTACACTCAAACTAGATATTATATGGTGATGTTGACATATACTTATAATACAATGACATGGAACAGTAATATTATATCGATGGATATGTTACCCGAAATACGCTGCAGTTCCCTTGTATACACCTTAAAGATTATTATCGTACGCATTATAATTTACAGATATACACAATTGGGGTACATAAATTACTTAAAAAAAAATAATGAAGTTAGTTTAGTAGTTATTACAAAAATTAAAATAACTATTTAAAAAAATAGAGTTTCCAACTAGCCCTAATTGATTATCGTTTGTTAATCAAAAACCAACGTAAGTATAAATAGTGTACAGCGTTGTACCTATAAAATATATGTCCTGAATAAACATCAATAATTTTCATACTAATACTATTTTTTTCCATTAATCAAAATAATTTTTTTTATTCTTGATACTCGAAACGGTGACGATTTACATAAAATAAACTATGGGTCGGGCCAAAACAATACAATTTCAAAACGTATTAAACTTATATTGTCGTTATAACTGTTGTAATATCTATCATTTGGCCTGTCCTTAGAACATTTTCTAGTTTCAACCATGATGATTTATATTATAGGAATAACTTATCAAAAATAATTTTCATTATATTTTTGTTGTTCGGAAAATTGTTTAACTCCGTAATCACATAACGAGTTCCTTTCGCTATTTCGCGTTACCTAACACTGATACATATTACATAATATGTTACTTATGGTTAAATTGTCTTTGATAATAAATTGATCGTTAAGCTGTTGAAGAAGAAGATTGCTAGTTATTATATTTATTTTTGAAAATTTAAATGTTATGTTATATTGTTAATATAATATTCTATATTGCCTATAATATAATATCATATAATTTAGTGCCTATAATATAATATCGTATGATATAGGGCAGTGTTTCCCAAACTTTTTGGTATGGCCACAAATACAGTTAATCTTTATTGGGTAAGCTACCTCATACTAAAAAAAAAAAATATCAAATATGCCATAAATAAATAATATTTTTATTATAATCAATGCTATCATTCTCACCGGTAAGATAACAAATATTCCATAATCGTAATAAAATTAATAAAATAATATAAAGATTACTAAAAATATATTGATATCCAATGTATAATCAATGTCATACATTCTACCATTCTATCATATCATTTATAATATATATTTTATCTATGCATTCTTCAATACTAGTTGGACTTCCCATGATTATTATACAATATAGAGCTATCAATTAACCATAATCGTAATCACGAGTCTCCACCCATGGTTTGAAAAACGCTGTTAAGGGTATATAGTTTTATTATTTTATATTATCTATTATATTATTATGATATGTAATAGTCGTATTAATTTTGAATCATTTTATTGGATAAACCCATCCACGATATACATTTATATGCAATGAAATATCTACTGTAATTTATTATGCAAGTAAATGTTATTTTAAAAGATATCATTGCCAAAATCGCCTTTTATAATTAATTAGAAAGCAAGAATTATTCGGAAGCTTTAATGGAAATCAGAGAGTTTTCGAGTTTTTAAAGTTAATCCTTTGAAATGAATGGTTATTAACATCTAGCGGTCCCTTCATTTCCTTTCTTTTTTGTCACCTGAAACCTGTCCTTATTTTTAGACTCCTGGAATGCACTTATACTGTAGTGTAAGGCACTGTGACCACCAGATTGGAAACTGCACTCCATTGTGACTTGTACATACTCAATATTGGTGGTTTTAACTTATACTGTACTTATTACTATTATTAAGTGTTTAATTTATATCAAATTATCAACCCTATATCTGATTAAACGAACAATTTTTAATTTGTCAACAGATTGATTTTAATATTGTTCAATATTTGATAGAAACACGTATCATGTATGTCATGATATAGTACCCAATCTTGTTTCAAACATGTGAAATAATCTAAATAAGATAATATATATATATAAATATTTCTTGTCTATTGTTTGATTGTATTATTGTATAAACAATATTATATTATCACAATAAAAATGTTGAGCATCTGATATATTATAAATTCATTATGATTTTCAGATTCCAGACCGGGGATAATGAGTGATCAAATCGAGCACGTCAAGACCATACTGAAGGAGTTGGTCGGCCGCACCAAAGATTTTCAAAACTTAAATGCATTCCGTCTGTTCATTTTGCAACATAACACGTACGACGTGGACAAAGCGACCATGTTAATTAAACGAGGTAAGTGGCCGCCCGGATAAGGGGAGGGGTAAAGGGTGGTATGGGTTCGGCGAGGAGGGTAAAGTAAGGAGGAAAAGTCGTATTATTTTTACTACGTACAAAATTAAAAATTAAAAAAAAAACCGTTCTTTCAACCGCCGCCGCGGTCGGTCGGTCGTCAGGCCGGCCGTATATACCCACACCGTGTGCGCACACCCATTTCTTCAGTACACCCGTGGTGGATATATATATATTTATGCGATGGGATAGGCGTGACCTGCAGTGCACTGTGAGCAGTAATGACACCTGGTGGGGGGCGAAATCAACTCCGACACATTAATACCCGTAAAATATCCGACCACCATTGTTTCGACGCACCGAACATGCTCAATAACACAACATAATAGAACACATTATAACCATGTAAAATGTCGTATGCCTACGTACAACAGGTATATACATGGCGTGTACATGTGCGCGTTAGATGTATATATATATATATATTTATCGTGTACATATAAAGGCGAAGGTTTATAATATGATACACGCCTGCCTGACCATCCGACTGCAAACATGTAATAAAGTAAACACGGTCGTATCTATATGTACCCGCTAGCGATTACCACAATGTGCAGATCGCGAATTTGTAATAATAATAATAATATTATTGTCACGTCGCGTCACGTTATAACGTATTATCCGCGTATACGTGACGACGAGATAATGACATTATTATAATAGTTCAATATGTACCTATAATAATTGATGCAGCAATGTGGTACTTGCGTTTATGAAACGTATTATGTAGGTATAAATAATATATATATATATATACTCCCAGGTACCTATATAGGTTGTTTTAAAATTATATTAGATATATACCTGCCTACCTAGCAACATGTTTCGAGCCAAACGCCATCAACGTATTTTCATTTTTTTATATTCCAATAACTAATAAGTCACCATAACAGGACAAAACGACTAAAGGTTAACTATTAGAATTAAGGAATTAGTGCATTAGCTCTCACGACCAACATTTTCTTCAGAATACCTATGGTTTTTAAAACCATTTCTCACCAGACCTATGCATGTTGAATGCATTAAATATGTATATTTTTTAAATTGTTCAAAATTGGTAATTAGGTATTTTTTTATTTATTTAATTTAATGTCGCCCTTATAAATTCGATTTTTTTGATCCGGGAGAGAAAATATAAAAGTTCCTCTCCGCATCCCATAATATTGAATTGTGTTAGAACAAAATATAATATAGTACAAGAGTATTTAAATCTAACCTTAGAATTTAGCAATAATTATATGGTTGTTTCAGTGTAGTTCAAAATGGCGGTTGTCTCTTACCACCAGAACCATACTTATCCTCCAAACGAGATATTTAATTCGACCGATTCTGTTTAAACTAGGTTTTCAGAAATAAAAAAAATGAATTTTTCTAACAAAATATTTAACTACCTACACAATATTATAGGTCAGGTTTGGGTAGAATGAGAGTTGTAATTTTCAAATACTCGGATATGATTATATATGGGAAATTTGGTGAAAACTAAAATAATTTAATAATGTGGCTATATTTATATGGGAACAGGTATGTCGAAGGTAGGTGGGTATAATGTCCTTATAAAATATCTGTAAATGGTCGGTGACGTGTAACAATATAATGTGACATAAATGTGTAATAAATAACATAGAATATAAATACCACATGGCTATAATGAATGCAAGCAAAGCTTGTGGAATTATTTTCGAAATATATATATATACATAAAACCAACTTGCACGTACGATAATAATTGTGTCGTATGTGTACATTCCCGTGATACAAAATCGCCGTACATTGTGGTTCCATCAGAGTACGTTTCTACGTTTTATGTAAACATTATATACCATTTACTGACCACAGGTATTTACCGCAAGGATGTTCGGTGTACGTCGGGTAAACATATTTTATACGCACTCGTATGCAAGCGGCGTATACATAATAATAATATATACAATATACATGTATACACATAGTCATATGTTATGTATTTCATATATATATATACTTATAGATGCCTACCACGCCACGGGTGTACGTAAAAATGCGCTGGATAGGTCAGGTTTCTGCGCCCCGCGCAGACTTGAAATAATTATTCCATAATAATTAATATTGTTGTAACCCGATGATAATATTATTTTGCCATCATACTTAGGTCTTGTCGATTCAACTGCGTTCCCGCTGTGAAATAAATTTAAAATCCCCGTACTTACCTAACCTAGGTATATACGATATGTTGGTCGTTCGGTTTACTTACTGCAGCGTCGGCCCGATATATATTTTATAGCTTATATTATATATAGTTAAAGTTTGTCAACTTGTCAATATGTCTGATGTGATCGAACATACTGTTGAAGGACTATCTCGAAGACTATTGACATAAAAAAATTGAAATATAATGTTTAGTCGTAAGTCGTAATTGATAAACAATCGTTTACTTTCGTTAAACGTATTATAATAATATTATAACATTACTTGTCTGTCGATCAATCAAACCATACAATTTCCGGTCGTTACGTCATTGTACCTATCGAGGTAAGATATTACCATATTACGATTTCTCATTAATTTCCGTTTATAAAACCATTCGCGTAATTCTTTCGTGCAATCTTGCAAATCATTTCAATTAACCGATCAAATATAATATGTGATCAAGAACATCCATGTTTTCGATACTTATCGGTTTCTTCTCCGATCACGTAACAACTGGTTTTACGTAATCCGACGAGTGTTTACGCGATGTTAAAATAAAAAAAAAAAAAAAAAAGAAGAAGAAGAAGAAAAATCAAGATAAAGTAAACCAGTTGGCGTGACTAAAGCGATTAATCGTTCCATTAATTTAAAGCGTAGGACAGTAACAATCGTATTTGGAGCCATCCGATTCGCATATTCGTATAAATCTTTGCAGTCAGTCTACCACCTACCTGTTACAATGTAGGCAACCCATTATCGCATTTCATCTGGTTCAATGTAGCATTGAAGCGCGCACGTGAATAACGTTACAATGTTATTGACTGATTTATTTTTTCTAGGTGTACGTAGTAAACTATTGAATCAAATTAAATTGGTATACAGAACACTCACTTTGAGCGCGACTTGCTCTTCTTAAAGATACACTAATTGTTCACGATAAATTACTTGAGAGTCGCGCCGATATCAAACATTTTTTTTTATTAATATTTATTGGTTATCACATAATATTATAATCAACAATTATTATAGCTCATGGAATACACGTTTTTTCAATTCTATCTAAACAAAACGATCGCGCGTGACGCGGCCGTTTTAAGAGTAACTTCGATGACGAAAACGGGCCTTAACAAGTATCTTTCATTTAACGCTTAACTTAAATTCCGGCCTCCACACGGCCAAACGTAAATGTTCTCTGATCAAACGGACGCGTGTGTGGCGATCGAGTCGGCCCGGTGTCGATCGGGCCTCGATTCTCGTACCACACGCGCGGCACCTTCACGTTCATTAATGACACTGTTCCTCCGTCATGAGTACCGTACTGCACTGTACGATCGAATTTTTATTTTTGGTTTTGATTCAATGGAAGATTATTATAGAAAAGGATCGGTGTGTTGTGAAGGGTTTGGGTGTTAATTGCGGAGCTTGACAGTGTGTGTTTCCTTGGACTCGGCCCGCGGTAAACACGCCGGACAATGGCGCGAAAGGGATGCTATTTTTTCCCCTTTTTTTTTTTTTTTTTTTTAATCACCGCCGTCACCGCGCATACGACGTGCTACCGTCGTGCCGCTCTCAATCCGTCGCAATCGTTGTCGTATTATTATTACTCGCCTTTATTTTTTTATTTATTTTTTTTTTTTTTTCCGTTGTCGTTGCCGCTGACGCATAATAAACAGTGTGCGGCGTATACCTACTGCACAGCTGCTGCACCGGTCAATCCGGCCAGAGGCTGTGCAGACGGTCCGATTGTCAAATACACGCCCGACGCAAACGTGCACGGTGCCGGGGCTGTGCTGCGTAATAACGCTCACGCCGCGTGCGACCGTATAATCTTGTGTTCGTGTGCGTGACGCGAGTGTGTGTGCGTCTCTGTGTTAATAAATAATAATATGCGCGTTCCGATTAAGTATGTGCCACTGGCAGCAGCCCATATCAGACTAAGACATGCGTATTATACCGTTGTACTGTATAGACGATGACGATGATGTTTCATTTTCTCGGTCCCTGCAGGTATACAACGATAATAGTATATTAAACTACGATGCTCGATATATTGTGTTCGTTCGAGTGTCATTGAGAATATCATCGGCATTATAATTATTATTATTATTATTTTTTTTTTTTTTTAACTTAAAACGTTTACTAGGGATTTTTTTTTTTTTTAAATTACACGTTACATATTATTATCTTACACGCATACTTACGTATTCATTATATTATATTATAATAGCTCATATGTATTCTACATATATAGTTAAATTAATTTTAAAAATATTTCACCAACGGTATTGTAATACAAAATTCGCTTCTGAAGAATTCATCAATATTATAGATTTGTCGACATATTTTACAAATATTTATGATTCATTCATGACATTTTTTACTTATTTTAATTTAAAGTATCGGTACTTTAATCGTTTTTAATCATCTGACGTCAACCAGTTCAGATCAAAAGAAAATTCTCGGTAAAGGTAAGTGTTTGGTTTATTATTTTATATACGTTTTAAATATACATTACCTTTACTATATACGTACGTTTACTATACTTGCGAATAATATAAGATTTTAATTAAATAATTAAAAGGTTACTATGTATATTGTATACATACAAATAGAAAAATTCAATAATTTAAAACTGTAGTATAAATATATAGTAGAACGGTTTTATTATTGATACCTTTATATAATGTATATAGTAAAATCATTGATAAATATATTATAGTATAGATATTGTGTATTGTGTTTACAATAAAATACCTATAGGCCACAGATTACAGATCAATAAAAAAAAAAAATAATAAAAACACAATTGTTATGCGTTTAAAAGTGCGGTATGCTTAACAACAAATAAATTATAAAATACTTCATCTTTTGATGAGAAAAAATGGTTCCAATTTTTAATCCATGGATAACATTGTTTTGAAATATTCTATACTCAACTTCACATAAAAATATACACTACTCGACTACTCGATAAAACTTGATAAGGATTTCAACTTTATTTTTGTTCTTGGCAGGTAGATTAATTGTTCTGATAAACAGCACTGGTATTGAGAGAGCAGGCTCCTTAGGCAAACATGTCATCACTTCAAAGTTCAAAGTGTTTATCATCGCAGTCTAAAAATTTGCCTGTACGAAGTTGTTCGTAAAGTTTTTAAAAGTTAACTATTCAATTTATTTTAAATTATAAAGTTTATAAGCACAAATATTCGATACAGACATTTTAGGATATCATATGGGTAGTTAAAACATTATCACATCAAAGCTTTATACAAGTTACTTAACTATTGAACATTTCTCTAATCGTTTGTACGAAAGGAACGATGTTGTACCTAATTAATAATTTGTATCTTGTAGCACATCATATTATTTTTGAAACCGATTGCTATTAATTGTCAGTGGTATATTTATCGATGTACTTACCAATATTTTACGTGAAACACAATTATTTAATTTTTTGTTTTTTGGAGTGTAAATAATTATTAAGTATGGAAAATATAGAAATACTCAAAAAATATATATTTTGACACTTACCTAATTTTAATTTTTAATCAAAAAATTCTTAATCATTTTTAACCCTTTAACCTAGTAAATTGTATTCAATAAAAAAAAATGTTATATCCCCAAGTTTTAATTGTTATTGGCTTTAGAAAAAAAACACCATAACGTACGTGCTAAAAGTGTTCGTAATAAAAAAAAATTTAAAAAAAACTCTTTCTAAACTGACAGATTTCTATCTCCTGCATTCGAGTTAAAAATCATATTGTACAGTAACTCTTGCTATATTCCCTATATTCTGATGCAGCACAAATATAATAACAGTTTATAAACAATGTTTGTTTGAAAATTCCATGTATTTATCTTCGATGAGCTACTTTGTGAGTGACAGCACGTTTGAACATTGTTGACACTTAGCTACTGCTTCTAACACGTTCTAACACTCAACTATATTCTAATATAGGGACCACTATGCAGTTTAGTTTCAAAAATAATATAAAAGTATGGACGTCAGAACACCGCCGGTTAAGACCATTATTATTTATTAACATTTTCGTTCCTCAAGTGATGTCGCATCATTATATTATATTATACTGTTGTCATATATTATTGTGTAGCTTTTTCCACTCTGAAGTATTAATAGTGTTCTATTGTCACATTTTGCTATCGGCTAAAGCATTCATAAAAACGACTCGTAGATAATTTGAGATTTCTTTTTAACGTCCTTGATATGAATACTGTGTATACTATTTCGGGATTAAATGTAACTTGGAGACAATTTATTGCTGTTGTTAATATTCGCATTCGCTGTTTCATTTTAAGGCACCATTATATTATCGTTCAGTTTTAAGTGCCTCAAAACATTTCTTCTTTTCCAATTAGGTACTAACAATTTATCAATGAAATGTTTTAGAAATACTCCTTCCAATCTTATATCATAAGCGTTAATGTTTAAAAAATGTTGTTGCGAGCATATCTGGCTTTCTATATACGTACAATAGTCGTACATATTCGCTATCTATATAGGTACATATTACTCTGCAAACATTTTTTTAAAACTGTTGAGCCATTAATGATGTGTTTATCTACACACGGTAGCTTGTAGCTACACAAATTAAATTTCTCTTAAAAAATAATTTTTATTTAACCTAATTATTTGTGTAAATTACATGTATTTTCTTTCAAACCATAAATGCGTAATGTTAACAAGTAGGTAAGTAAGTAGGTAAAACCATGTACAAAATATCTCAAACATCTTACGGTTATTAATTCATTTGAACGTTTAAAATTTAATGGGGAACGGAAAGAATCAATACTTCTAGGGATTTGCTTTATTAATAACCACCCGACATATTTATGATAAACTAATGATGTATATTGTATAGGTATACTTATACTCATTTTTATATCGTTTTAAGTTTGCGTATACTAACGTTGTTTCGGTACAAGGCTAGGCACTTATTCAGTATATTTTATTATACGATATTCAATAAAATATGTTGAACATCATCTTCACTCATAAATTATTTTTACGAGCACTTAAAACTTGAAAAACGTCCCATGAAGTATGAACACAATAGTGAACCGAACACCGCTCATAATTATTTCGCGATGTATAGTATTATCATTTATTTCAGACGCAACTAGCTGTTTTTAAATTGTATATTATATTATAAAGGTACGAGGTGCCTATGCTATATAATAATAATAATAATAATAACAACAACAACAACAACAACAACAACAACAACAACTACAACATGCACCGTCGCGAAGACTTGTGCCACATAAACGAATCCAGACGATACAGTAATAATATTAGGTGCCTACGTATGCCTTGTGTGGCTTTTTTCTTTTTATTTTCACAATATGAACATCTGTAACAATATTATGGCTGGCATACACGAGTTGCAAGAATTGAGTACTAAAAAAAAAAATTACGGAAAAAGTTCGTTTGTAAAATATATGTTTTACAAACGTTCTGTATTTACCGGAATTTCGTTCAGTTAATATAAATGTAGTGATTCATATATAACTATTATAACTTGAGGGACGTGCTCTCGGTATGCACAACAGCCTTGTATGAAATGCCATGATGGCGGCTCGGGTATAAATGTACAATACACACATTAGGTATAGATTGCACACAATACAACAACAATAACACTACTATTTGCCTACAACATAATATAGGTATTTATAAAATCAGCCTACGCAAATTCGAGGCCGTGATACCTGTATCAGTGTACCTAATGTGTCCAATAATTAATAGGTGCACTGCCGACCTATAATATTGAGTATTGCCACTCTGTTTCTAAGATATATGTACCCTAATCGAGTATCGTTAAGATGCATTTCTCCCAAGCTTAAGAGTTGTAAGACGTTTGCATAGTGTGATTATAATATCGAACGGATTTTCATTCATATAAAAATTATTTGGTCCGATTATTATTTATTGGTATATGTGCACCCTGTTACTCGTCGTCTATGTCCTCGTATCTACATCCCCAATATCCTTCTATACCGCTGGCCATAATCTTCTATAGCTCTACCCCTCTATTTTTTCTAAGCCTTAAAGCTAATCCAGTTACCCTAATGCATGCTGAAAATACGATGTTTGACTTTTAAATTTTAAAGCATGTACCTGGGTATATTAAATGATTTGCTAGAGTTTAACGAAAAAAAAAATTAATTTTTATTTTCATTATTTTCATTTTGAGTGAACCAAAAAACCACTAGGTATGAACCATAATAACAGTTGTTGAACCCGATGAGTCATGATAGGTACGTGAATGATATAATATTATGAAATTTATATTCACAATTTTTGGACTAAACGTATTTTTACTAACGTAACTATAGTACCTCCATATGCATGTACAATGTGAGTACATCGATAGATTTATTTAAAACATGTATTATATATATATTATACGTATAGGGCGGGACCATTTTCTTCCAAAACTTAGATACCTACAGTTTTTCCTCACAATACATTTTCCTTAAAAAGGGAACTTTTCATTTTAAACCACACATATTTTTAGACAAGAATTTCTTTTTTCCCCTGCAAAATACGAAAATTATACAATTGTTTGAATATTAAATTATTTATTTTATTTATACCACGTTTGAAATTAAGACACAAATTATGAGATTTGTATTCTAATTAGCCTATATCATTATATATTTAATACTTGTAATATTCATAATATATAGCTAATTAAAAATTAACCATCATTTATAAACTACATTTTTGTTTGAAATTATTATAATTCTAAATTCTAAATAATTATATAAATTAATATTTTACAATATTTTATCTCAATGATTTCGATTCATTTCACATGAGTATTTCGGTATTGATCTATATGCATAGAAATATTGATATAGAACAATATTCTTAGCCAAAAAATAATAATCCAAACATAATTCTAATATTATTATTATTACCATCATACATTTATACCATATTGCTACAGTTATGGGTACTAGCGAACAAAATATAAAATAATATTATGTACTTACATATTTAAAGACTTCCTTTATCCTCATCACGTTTGTGCTTATGTGATGGACTTTTATTGCCCAACAACAAGCCTACCTATACATAACATTATTATAATATGTTCACTAGTCTTAGATAACCTCATAAAACGCGATATTATTGATAAGGCGAGAGGGTCGACAAAATACAGGGTCATTCAGAGAATTTGGAAAACTTAAAATAAATCTCATAAAAGCATAAGGCATTTCCAAGCTTTATAATTGAAAAACAAAAAGTAAGTTAAGTGACTTTACAATAGGTTATAAATCTCATGTTTTGAAATTAATATCCTTAGAGTGGTCCATTCATCTACTTAGGTAACCAGCATGTACATATTGTTGAAATAAACACCGCTATATTATGACCAGCTCCTATTTTGCAGCCGTTTCATTTCGTCGAATTTATTCTTCGAGTAACTTATAAATTGTAAACTATATTATTATTATTATTATTATGATTAAACTAATTAATTATATTTATGCATTAGTATTTATATAAAAATGACAAACGCCATTATTAGGTAGATTTTATAAAATCAAAAATTCTATAATTGCGTACTAATTAAAATAATAAATAAAAATAAATAATAATCATATAAAATATTATAAAACAATTTTTTTTAATTAGTTGAAATTATTTGTTGTGTTCAATCAAATAACCAATCCATTTTATTTGTGGAGGATCGCTTGTCACTCTCTCCTTAAGACAGCAAATTCTTTGTTCGAGCTGAACGTATTTATTGTAAATTCTTTTAACTTGTTGGAAAAATTTCATGTCATCTTTAATTATTGAGTGTTCTTTTCGTTTTATATAATTGTCGAGGATTTATCAAGCTTTTATAACTTTAGAGTTCAGATAGACAGCATAGTAGGTACCTAATATATCGTTTCAAATAATAGATATTTCACTGCGTCCATTTGTCGCTTTACAAATCACGAATTCACGACCCTATTGTAAAACAAAAATAATTTGGGAATCGTGAAACGGCGGCTAAACGGGAAACGACATACAATATGATGGTACATTCTTTGTAACATCTTTCTGAGAATCGCTTTAAAACGCACCTTCGCTGGTCCATGATTGTCGAACGGCAGTGAGCTGTGACAAAAATTAATTACACTCATCCGTCGGTCAGCACTAAGGTTTGGCCAACACTATGGCTTCAAATTTCCCCGTTTCCTCGACAGACCCTGTACACAATTATATGTGCATACGAATCTACGTGTGTAATATTATAATGTTATTAATGTTATTATAACGACGATAATATATTGTGAAAATGTATACCTAAACGTATTTCCCGACGAAAGCGGCCGCTCTTTTTACCGGACGATCGCGTTGTGAGCTGCTCATATTTTTATTATATTCACATACGCGTTCGTTGTCGTTATGTATTATGTGCATCGTAAAATGAGTAGGTACCTACATTTTTTAACGATAGGTTCTGCAGACGAGCGATATTTAAACTCACTGGAGGGGGAGGCTCTACATACTCGTAAATTCGTCTATATAATATAATATTGTATTATAAGCATATTATATGTGTGTGTGTGTATAAGCGCTTCTATCTATTTCACCTTATCATCTTAATGTACGTTTCTTGTGTGTGTGTGTGTGTGTGTGTGTGTGTGTGAGTCGGATCGTAAAGAAATCGTATAATTACTCACTGTTTCGCCGACGCCGAAACGAGTAGCTGCGGTGTGTTCGTTGCAGCCGAATATAAATCAATTGTGCTGGAAAACAAACCTTAATAATAAAATATTTTTTTACATACATAATTTAACGGCATCGAACGACAGTTGTAACGAACAGGTACAGTTGGAATAAATATCATTATTACATATTTTTTAGGTGTTTTGTGTGAAGTAGGTAAGAACAATAATTATATAGCTTATTTAAAAACGGCTTTACTCGTATAGAGGTTACTATACTAATATTACCCACATTGTGTTCATGCAGGGCGTTTTTCAAAATATAATAAGTTGCCGGAAAATAATAATAATTGAGAATATTATGAGTAGATAATTAACTAGTAAAAAAAATTGAATGTAAATGTCTAGTGCCTTTAGATATCAAAATGATTGAAGTGCGGATTATCAAAAAAAAATACTAAAAAATTACTGGGAGCTTATGAAAATAGATAACTTTACTGTAACATGTATGAATTTAAAAGTTAAAACCTTATTGTATAACAAACTAAAGTAGGTTTTTAAGTCAATCCAGTTATAATTTATTCGATCATTTTAATAATAATCAGTACATAAAAAAATTAAATAATCGTCATATTTTATGGAAATAATCAAATTTGTTCAATATTTAATTTGTTAACGCTTAGACAAAACTATTGAATGTACTCTAAAGTGACTGTAAGCCGGTTTAATGCTTTTTCAGTAATCTACTTAAGGAACTACTTGATGTGGTTTTCAATTAAAATTGTTCATATAGATATGAATTTTGAAAAATTAATATTTCCATTAATTTTATCGTAGCATATAATTTAAATTAAATTTGAATTTGGAAATGAATCGTATAACAATTAGTATCCACAGCAAAATAATATCTCATCGATTATAGAATTTTTAATTATTGTCCCAAAATCAAAACCAAAAAAAAAAATATATAAAGCATTTCAGTGCCACACAACGTTAAATTCGAAATAGATATCGACTTTCCAATTTTGAAATATGCCCATAATAAAATTGCCATGTGGTAAAACATAAATAAAAATTATTAGAAAAGTAGTAAAAAAAAAACGAGATAAAATAAAACTATAAGTTTGTTAGGTCTTTTGTACGTGACATAAAGTACGATTCTGAAATAATGTAAAGTATAATGTTATTGAATAAAAAAAAATTAAAATGCATAAAATATCCACTAATGCAATTATAATGTGTAACGAGATTTAGAAACGTTCAATAAATTAAGATAGTTGTTAAATCTCAGTATAATATGATTCTTCTTCAAAATGGATTTTTGATAATTTTACTTAATATATTAAATACAAATAAAATTGATAATACATAAAAACAGATATTATGCTTATTAGATTTAAGTTTTTGTTCTGTTATAATATAGGTTACTAAATATATACTAATATTCCTAAATACTATAATATAAAAATAGTTAAAATAAACAATAATTTATATAGTATTTTATTAGTATTAAATAAGTCTTAATTGTTATATTTTATTAAATAGCTAGTCTAAAAGATGATTAATTATTTTAAATAGGTAGCCACTAAGGTACCTTACCTTGTGTAATTGAAATCAGTAACTTAATTATTGTATTTAGCACTGATTTCATACTAATACATTTAATATCTACAAAATATCATTCGAAAGTAAAATATCTACAAATATACCCTATTAGAACAATGTAAGTAAAATATTATAAGTTAATAATAATAAATAATTTAGTAATTTATATTTAAATTATAAATGTTCATTAGTTATTTTATTTTTAACATTTGAAGACTTTGAGTTGTAGCAATCTAAAATAATATTATGTTTAATGCATTTGATTTCAATATTAGTAATAATATTCGTAATCAATTTAATCATACAACCCAAATTTAAAGTTTATCAAGACATAAGTGATCTCTGATAAGCTTTAGTTGTAGACAAATGTTAGATTAAGTACCGTAATATAGTAATTTAGTCAATTTAAGATTAACACAGTGATTGTATGGACAATGTAATAATTTATAGATCAATAATGAATGTTCACCAAATCAAAATATATGCAGCCGAGAGTGAAGCGGCCCCTTCTACCACTATCTATCAGTTTCAAGTATCATCAAATCCGTAAGTATTGTTTTGTGTAATTATACCTAAATTATCTTATTTTTATCATACAAAGAATAAAAAAATTGCATGCATCGTATTAACTTACCAAAACCATAGTGTTCTACGCACCGATTATATTTCTAAAATAGACCAATTTGCAATTTTTTATTAGTGGCTTTCATAGTACCTGTAAGAAATAAAAAGTATGCTCAACACGATCACTGTTTACGTCCTAGTTCGCGCAAGTGCATCGCCTTTTGTTTTTGTGCATACTGCATTACTTAAGATTAAATGTATACGTGTGACGTCACCTTGAGTTTATTGTTGGTTGCATTTATAAATGTCAGTCCATTCTTATACATACAAGCTCAGCTTATCACTGAGCATACTTTTTATTCCTTATACTATTGTGTCTTTTAAGTTTTAACCATAAGCTTATCGTGTTATTTTTTACTTCTTCCAATGCCAATATTGTATTTACTTTTAATATCATATTTTTAAGTAGATGAGTAGATTATTTATATAATGCATTTTATGTATATTGGTATATTTAAGTATCGAATTTTGGACCAATATACAATTTTGTATTATAAAAAAGTTGTATACTATGTAATTTATAATTGTAATACCTATTTATAGTAAAATTAATATTGAAAACAGGGTTTTGAATTGAATACACACTATTGTTAAACCATTTTCTAGCTCTGCTACAAAAAAAATTCAAACTTTTCCAGGGTAACCGACCTTAAAATTAATAATCTAGCTTTAAACCGAGAAACTAATAATTATCTTAGAATAAATAACCTTCCTTAGTATTCAATAAATTCATATATTTGTATTGTAGTTGTTTTTTGTTAAATACGACAGAAATAATTTATAACGAATAAATTAATATTTAACATAATTTTGTCGATTATTGTTTAAAATCATCGACAGAACGTATTGCTAATGAACATCATCATATGAAAATGGTTTTAAAAATACATCTGTTTTTAATTTTTTGCTCGTATTCCGTAGGTACACCTACATTAATAACTTCATCCAATTTATGGAAATAATATTATACAGCTAAAATCACGTGTGACGAGTTTGTAAATTATAATTATTCATGTATATTTATTTATTTATTTATTTGTAAATCAATGGGCTTGAGTGGTCTTTTGTGGATCAATCGCTCTTTGAAATAGTGTACAGGCGAAATGGTGTGAGCGAGCCGATAGATTAAAATTATCCGATATAATTTGGTTATATTAATAGTAAAAAATGAAGGTATCAAAACAACAAAATTAAATCTTCACAAATAATGAATAAAACTGAATGTATTTTTTGAAGGCCTTTAGAAACAGGATAAAGTACAATATTATATTACTTATCTAATATTTTCAATATTTTTACCTCACCCAAAAAACTCCATGTATTTAGTCCCCGTGCTTATCTTTCCACCACTCCTGTTATGAATACATTTGTGCTTATGATTTAAGACATTGACACGATAATATTGATAGAAATTCTGGTGCACAGAATTATGTTGTCATTACATTAATTTTATATTAATCTATTCGTTAATCAACCATCGATTGTTTTAATAACAAATTCACAAGATTTTTGTTTATTAGTTATTAGTGTTATCAATAAATAAGTAATAACTTATTACCTACCTTCTTGTTAGTACATTTCATTGGTCTGTTTACCAGCGTGCCGATAGTAATATATTTGAGATACTTTATGGGAACCGTAGTGAGTCTTGGGGTGATCACAAGTCATATAAACGCACGATCAATATATATGTATACTATCGACTTAATTCTATCGTACTTATATAAGTCTATGAATTACATTCTTATAATTAATACTGTGCTAATATTATGTATACATCACGTTTACAACGAACGTTGTGTGTATACCAGCTGATAGCCACATATCATAGATGAGGTACGACAAAATATCAATTAAGATTGGAAGAGAAAGATTTTCTCATCTGAAGTGAGTTGAAGTATAATATATTAAAATATATTTTTATTAGTTACTGTGTACCTACCGCTATTTTAGTATTTCAATTAGTATTTTGGGAATCATTTCATGCGTACTTATATCTGCCGTAACACATAGGCAATATGTATAATACCGCAAACGTTTATAAAATTAAAATTTAGAGATTGGTACCTAATTTTATTTCAGTGGTGCAGTAGTAGCCACTTACTGGACTCCCGGTTACCGGAACTCATTCGTCTATTGGACTCACACACTAGTTAATTGGGTCAATGTTTATTTTTAAGGGCATATATCCTCAATTTTTAGTTCATCATTTTTAAGATTTACCGATTACATGTTGACAATTAACACTATTTCTGTGACTTATCCCACTGAGAAGTAAATATTAAAGATTTTAAAATATTTTTTTAAATCATTCAATGTCATTGACAAATCGATATATTTTTGACAAAATAAAATATTTTGTAATTCTATTGCTAGCATTTTTCATGACGTTTTTGTTCTTCATGAGTGACATACATACATTTGATATACATAATATAATAATGAATATTTATCAGTTAAGAGGTACATGACCAAATTTAAGTTGTTTTATTACAATTCTAACTTATGTATAGTGTATACATTTTAATAAATTCTGTAATGTATTTATAAATAGGTGGTTGTCATTCCACGTGATATTGCTTAAGGACCCAATCATTTTTTATATGATTTATATGTTTTAATATTAACAAAATATTAATCTAATGTTTAATATATTTAACCATCATTATGATTCGAGATTCTGAGCTTAAATTTTTCTAACCATGAGGAAATCATTTCTTATGTACTTAAATATTGATATAGGTATTTATATTATTTAATTATTCACCAGATTTTTATTTTATAAGCTACATGTTGCCTTCAGTTTAGTTTTCTTTGTGGACTTTGTTGTTTTTTCTATTCAATGATATTTAATAGTGTACGAAATTTTTATTTACATTTAACCATTTATAGTTGATATTTACAAGAATAAGGAAATTATTTATAGGTAGAACTGTTTCAGACAATATTTTGAATAATTATACACCTGCGTCACTGATGATGCTAATTAAAAGTTACATATTTAAGCATAATCCATACTCGTATAAGAGCATTCTTGCTTTAAGAAAGTAAGAAAACGATTTCCTTTATTTGTATATACCGATATATGTCGATTTATTGTATACTTCAATTTTTATTTCATATGGAATTTTAATAATCTAGCAATCACAAATCAAACACAAAAATAAACAATTATTGCAATTTTTTGTTTTTATTATAATTTTTTTATTTAAATTATTATCATAATGGTTACTGCAGGGTCTCACTGAAAAAAACTCATTTTGAAGCCCAGGGTTATTTTAGTTTACAAATAATATTTTTAATAATATATTATCACAATATATTATGTTATTAGTATACTATTAAATAAAGATTAAAAAATATATTTCTTCAATTATAACCTATATAACCTATAACCGTATATATAGGTACCAGCTTTTACTTGTATGAATAACAATATTATTTTAGATTATGAGTGTTTTAATTTCATTCTCAAACAAAATATTTTTTTGGGAATTTCAAGGTAATAATTGTGAATCGAATTTTCTACGAGTTGTTAATTAGTTAGATTACCTATTTAAAGTTTTAATGAGCTGACATGTGGACAGAGGTTTTTGGGGTTTTATGTTACTCCAATCAGCTCTTCTAAACTTCAAATTGTATCATAACTAAATAACTATTCGTTTAAAAATCAATTTGTATGTAAGTACCTGCATATAAAATTCTCAAAAAAAATTACAATATTCTGCTTCGAAGTACTTAAAATTTAAATTTTATTCTGTCATTACAAAAGTGAAACTTTAAAAATAGTAAAAGCATTTTGTAATGGTTAAATTATCTAAGAAAAATATTTCAAAAAACTTTAAAACTTTTCAAGTTTTCAACAAAAAATTAGTGTTCAAGGTTTAAAAGAATCACGCCTTATATTTATAAAAATGTAGGATCGTTGAACATTTGAATCAAAGGAAATGATCCGTTTAAGTGTATTTTATAGACACAAAGTATTCTTTATAATTCAATAGATACAATTTTTTGATAACAGACACATTTTTTTAGTACTTAAAGCTCCTTGACGCATACATATTTAATTATTTGAAATTTTAAAATAATCGGGAAATGTATAAACATACATTAAGCTTCTAAAGTTAGTTTTTGATATTTTTAATAGAGATTTATTGAGAAACATTACTGGGGTTATCATGTTACGTTCTTGGAAACCATTTTGATTGTACAGTAACTTTCTAAGCCAATTCGTTCAGATTCTACATTTTCTTCCAGGTGAATGAGAATACTAGATAATGAAAATTCGACCGTTGTCATTTTATCTGTTTATGTTTACCAGGAATTTTCTCATCATACGGATACTATAATATATGATTGTGACGGGAATAGGAAACTATAATTATGGTATAGGGGAAATGTGGAAAACCTATGAAGCTCAAATTTAAGAAATTTAATATCCACCCTATTAATAAGTGAGTATAATGTATACGTAGAGCTATAATTGTAGTGCTCTAAAAACCGTAGACAATTATGTGAATAGGATGCTCTATAGAAATACATTATAATAACTTTTATTATTTTTCTTAGAAATATTGTAAAATAACAATGTGATTTATTTTTTTAATTGAAACAAACTCGATACGACTCTGATCTAACCACTATTAAATTAAAACAAATCACATCTGTCAAATTTGGGACTAGTACATTATGAAGAATTTATTATGCAATTAGACTAATTTCTAATAGATAGTTGTTGAGAATTCGTTAGATTTTCATAGCCATTTTTCATATTTTGTTAGTTTCCCTGAACTTTGCAAATCGACAAACAAACATGCTGGTGTCATTGTAGTAAATTCTGGTCATGAGGTTTCAAATTTATAGATCAGAAAGATTTTTTTCCTAACAAATTTCAATTAAAAATCAACGTAATAAAAATATCC